ATTCTAAAAAGTGAGACAGGGTTTATCTGTATGGAAGCCATGCTGGTTTGCCTCTGACATCCTGCAGGATGAAATGGTATAGCTGATTTCCTAAATTAGTGTGCTCTTGATGTAGTCTTCTTAAGGAGAGATGGCTTTTATTAGAATGTCATGCTGATACTGTTCCTAACATACTACTGTATGAAGCGTGGCATAACAGATTTTTTTTTTTTTAAGGCTAGCTATAAAGTCTCCTTGGGGAAGGAGAAAGTAATGTTTAATCAGCAGCATGTGTCATTAGTAAATATTTACAGTGTGGTAGGTTTCCAGCATGATGTGCTGGATGGAGCCTTGTGTGACTCTCATCAGCTTGGAGATGAGGTGTGCTATTAAGGCCCTGCTCATTGCTCTGCAAATGGATCTCTGTGTTTTCAGCTTAGTTCATTATTTAGAGTGCTTTTCCACCTCCATGCACAAAGGCATAATGAAAAACACAGATGATAAGGAACAGCCGTGATGAACACACAGTGAAACTGGCCCTGGGGAAAGAACTCTTACCTGCAATATGTGTCTTAAACAACCACTTTGAAAGCCTCCCAGTGCAATTTCATTTGACCTTTCCTTAATGGCCATCTCTACTGGGCAATCAATTTACTTGGCCCCCTGAGTGATCAGGAGTTATGCTGTTTCATGAAACAGACCAGGCAACATGAAGTAGTGTTGGATTGCCCTGGAGAACAGAAGTCACGTGGCCCTGATCTGACAAATCAGTGAAAGCTGACACTGCCTCTCTTTAGCAGAGTGGTTTATCTGTTTAAAAATCATACCGAAAATGGTGCTTAAAATACTAAAAAGGTGTATGTGAACATATAGTGTCTCCCCCCCCCCCAGCTCCCTCAAAACTCTGCTGTGGACATCAAACATTTTGATAGACACTGAGACGGGGAAAATATGGCCAGTTGTTGTGGCATGCTAAAGCCAGACTTAACTCAAACAAAGCTTAAGATAGCTCTTGAATCCCAAAAGAAAACAATTTCCTGATACCATGCTGAAATGTTCTACAAATATATAGATATTTTTAAAAGATGAGGTAATGCCTGACTAACGGGCAGAATCAGGTACTCACAAGCACTAGTATAGCAAGGCCCTCCCATTATCTCTGACCATTGGCAATGTTGGCTGGGGCTGATGGTTCTTGGAGTCCAACCACTTTAAAATGAGACCACCCTGTTGCGGCGGATTTATCTGCTGCCCTTTAGCCCAAAATGCTACTAAGGCAGAATACATAAATTCAGTTAAAACTGGTAAATCAAAGAAGCTTCGGCAAGTACAAAGAAAATAAAGACAGTGCCAAGCAAGCCGCCCCACTGAAGGGTTGCTGTAATTGTAAAAGCCTGGCATCGTTAATACCCAGGCAGATTTGTACAGGAAGCGGAGATCCTTTAGTCATCTAATCCCAAACTGATGGGGTTAAAACTGTGCTTGGAATAAGACTGAGTCACCATACCTGTTTGTTTCATAAGCAGATATACTCTATGAACCCAGTCCCAGATAGCCATTGTATTTTGAAATACTTGCCATTTCCAACAAGTCTTCAAAACATTGCACTGCAAGCCTGATAATCCAGGGGAATAAAATTCTATCCATAGTTAGCTGAACAGCAACTTGCAGATAAGACAAAACCAGGAGTGAAGAACATCAACGTTTTGTCTGAATTGCAAGGAAATTTCCCCTGTATCTTTTCAACTAGTGTAAATTGGTACATCTCATTGCTGTACAAATGCAGCTACATTGGTTTGCACTTTTACAATGATCACATATTTGGTTCAAAAATCCTTTCTATGCACTCTGAACTGCAGCCAGAACCTTAGCTAAATCGGTGATCTTAATTGTCAGATTAATAAAAAGAAATGGTTGTCTTTCGCTCACATACTATTAAATGTTTTCTGCTTTTGTATTTCATGCTTCTGCCAAAGTCTGCAAGAAGTGTTGAAATACACAAAGCAGAGCCTTTGTCAATGTATTTCTGGGGTACACACAACCAAGAATTACCAAGGTTCTCATAGGAAAATTTCCTGAGAGACCAATCCAGTTTTGAGAAGAGAGGAGAAAGGTCTTCTAAATGCTTCCTGAAGCCAGAGCTGGAAAGGAGTCACTGTTACTATACCTAGGACTCTTGGAACAGATGCAATGAACATATTTTCTTTCAAATCTATAATAAACCTTCCAGAGCAGAGTATAATTTTAATTCCTATCATCTCATAGTCGTCATGGCCATTGGAATCATAGCAGGGCAAATCTGGGGTGGGGTAGAGAATAGATTAATGAAGGAATCGGCGTCTTAAGAGTGAAACAATACCTTTTAAGTTGTTGGCTCAAAGCTTGGGAACCACCAGTCCACAGCACTGGTGTCTTGTCAAGACTGGGCTTCATTTTACCGGCCCCCATCTGGCCCATTACTGCCTCCAGACAGTTGATAGCAGCCGATTGGAATCTGCTCTTCCTGTGACATCTAAGGCTCTGAATGAGAAACAGCCATTATTTGGAAGGAAATGAAGACTGTTGCAGGGCAAAAGTAAACTCTGGGACACACCAGGGGCTGCATCCACACATCCATCATGAGCACCATTCAGATTCCCTTATGGGAAAGGGACTGCTATTATCAGGAACACCTTTGTGAGTACTCTCTTACCCCATCAACTACATATTCCATGGGAATACCACAACTGGAAACTACAGTGGTACCTCGGGTTAAGTACTTAATTTGTTCCGGAGGTCCGTTCTTAACCTGAAACTGTTCTTAACCTGAAGCACCACTTTAGCTAATAGGGCCTGCGGCTGCTGCCACGCCGCTGGAACACGATTTCTGTTCTTAACCTGAAGCAAAGTTCTTAACCTGAAGCACTATTTCTGGGTTAGCGGAGTCTGCAACCTTACGCATATGTAACCTGAAGTGTATGTAATTTGAGGTACCACTATACCAGCATTTAACCAAAAGACACCTTACCCTAAGGTTACCAGATTTTTTTCAATGAATCTGGGGACACTTTTCAACTTCAATGGATTTTGTATGGGGACTGATTTGTAAATCCGGGGACTGTCCCTGGGAAACGGGGATGTCTGGTAAACTTACCTTACCCTAACTTGAGAGACAGACGGACAAGAATTGTTCATAGCAGTAAAGGCATTGAAACAATAGTTTTAAAGGACATACCCAACCTTCTGAAATATCACCCATCACTGCATACTTCCTTTTGCTCTAGCTGTCCTACTGTGATCAATATTAATAATAATCCAGTTTTGTGGCTAAACTATGAAACAACTAAAGTGCTGCCCGTTTAATGTGTATTTCAGATGTCCCACTGGGTTTCAGAGGGTTAGCTTTCACCTTGTGAGGTTCCAAAGTGAGCACTCAAAAGCTCAAGCAGAAGAAAATTGGCGGTCATGTCTGCCTTCTTTGGGTAGCTTCTTGCGAAACAGCTTTCTTTCTATTTTTCTCCTTCTTCTTCCAAGAGCCGTTGTGAGAGTGATCTGGAAGGAAGCTTTCAATTTTATTATATCCTGCAATCGTAATTGTTCAGCACATTTGGTACTCTGCTCCAAGACCACCCTGATGAATGCAGTCCACATTCTCACATTTGCTAGGACACACACACACACACACACACACACACACTCCTACCCCTTTCAGCAAAAAATGGTAAAACAGTAAAGCATCAAGGCCATATTCACTGAAATGTATCCAGCATTTTTGTCAAATATTTTAACCAAAGCAGGTAGTAAACTACTTTACTAGTGGAATGGGAAATCATATAAGGCTCTCCTGCCCGAGTCCCCTCTCCAAGACAGCATTCAGATAGCACTTTTTTTTCCATTTTCACAAAGTTACCCTGCCTGGTATTTTCAGTGTTTTCTGTGATCTTTCACACAACAGAAAAGCCACTTTTAGAACTCCAGCAGAATCTATTGGAAGGTTTTCATTAGTTTCTGTGTTAATTGCTTCCAGGGGAAAAATCTGTTTATAACTCCGCTAGCCCCCCCCCCAAATGGTATAAAATTTGGGGTGGTATGCTAGCATACAGTTCTTTCACACTGTTTTTGTGGATGAATCGTGGGGGACAGAAGCACACATGCACATAAAAGTGTGAGGGGTGGTGACATGTCTGCTATTGTGTCACCCCATATCTACCTGTGTGTACAAAATTAAACACAAAACACAAAAATTAAAAAGCTACAGTTTCATAATGTAAGAGTAAAAATAACTGGAGCATAACTTGGCTTTCCTCCCTGTGTCTTTTTGCTGTTGTCGTCACTATTAGGTTAGCGTTAATCTTATTTTTGCTCATATTCCTTTATTGATAGATTTTTTAAAATGATGCGTATTTGCCACATTGAACTGCACACTGAGCATAGAAAGAGGGAACCTGATACATAGCAGGTAGTTTTGTAGCTCACACTGTTTATTTATGGAATCAAAAGCAGTCTTCAGTTCCAAAAATGCTGTCTCTGTAAATACCACTTCTTAAAGTAGAAATATTTGACAACTTTTGTCAAGGGTTGCTGTTTGTCAAATGTATTATTTGTATCTTACTACTGCTACAATAACTGCTGGTTTTCAGTAACATTTTCATAGCTGGAAACAAAGTTTCTATTCCAATTCTCTTATATATATTACCCCAATCATATATAACATCAAAATGTTTGGCAGCCATGGGGATCTGCCAGTCTATCTTTTAATAACCCAGAAGGGATAGCATCTTCCCCTAGGCCTTTGTAGTTGGCTAAAGATTCTAGTAATTTGCAGTCTCCGGTTCTAAAATGGGCAGGTCCAGACACTCATTAAGATCCTGGTGTGCCAAAAAGAGATATCTAAACTCTCTTCTCACAATTAAGGTACACATACTTCTTTCATATAGGATTGCTCTGTTGGTTTTGTGATATTTCCATCTTCATTCCATATATGTCTCTGAAAGAAATGCTATTTGGTCTCCACAAGCTTTGAAAAATATTTCTTCCTGGATATCGGGTCCTCCCTTAAAGAGGGCACGTGTTGCGGTGGGATCGAGCAACCTTACCCTGTGTTGTGGGTGGGTACGTTTGGATAGCCACAACACCCAATTGGTAGGTCCCTTGATGCAGGGTTCAATCAGGCCAATGGGACGCAGCCTAACGGATCAAGGGACCTATATATGCCTATGCACATGACCCAGAGCTTCCTCTTTCGGTACGTGCATCGGAACACCTGCCCACATCTCCCTATATTTAGGGCTGTGCACTTGTCCTTGCTATGCCGTCGTGTGTTGTCTTTCATTGGGACAGGGGTACGGCAGGAATTTCCCCCACTTGGCTGATGCTATTTGGGTTTCGCCTGCTGTGTAGCAAATCGTCACAACTTGTAAGGTTGCGGATAGGCTCTGGTTCAGGTGATAGGGAAGGGAGAACGCTCTCGCCATCCCTATGTGAAGGGTATTCCGTTAAAGGGATCCAGGGACTTGATGGTTTGGTCAACCCTGTGAGGGGGTTGTGCCCTTGCCTGAGTACAGGGGGGCATTTGGATGGTGGAGATAGCCTGCCCCCAGCTTTGCACTTATCCAGGAGTTCATCCAGGAGTTCACCCTGGATCAGTGCTACCTGCAATGGTGCAGGGAGCTGGTCAAACCAGAGCCTATGCAACAAGTTACTTGCTGTAATCAATAAAGTTGTGGCCTAAATTCTGCCAAAAACCAAACCAAAATCTGAGTCTTGTCTGAATTTATTTAAGGGGGAGGTTTAAAGGTGTTAACACGCAAATCAAAGTTTCAGCATGTGATCAGAAAATGTTACCCGCCTGCAGTTTTTGTTTAGCTGTCAATTCAGCACCATGATACTCTTCCTCAAACCATTTTGCATCATTTTCAGGTGATCTAGAAGTGTTCTAAGAGGTGGCCACCAGCACGGGTTTAACCTGATTAACAATTTGTTGGAATATCTCAGTAAGGTTTACAGGGCCATTTAGGTGTTAAAAAACAAAACTAGTAGCTGAGTTAATTCTGCTGCCTGAAGTTTGACCTGCACATCCGCAACCAATTTACCATTCCATCTTTTTCATGCCTATTAATTCTGTTTTATCCTGAAGGAAGGCAGAAAAATCAATCCATTACTGTATGGTAAAAACAACTTAATATTTACTAGCATTATTGCCTAGCTATTACATAGCTGGGGAAAGTGGTTTCTGTAATTTCCAGGGGGAAAGCTTGCTAAAGTGAGAGGCAAAGGGGAGTGCTTGGTGTGTTTTATTTAGGGGTGGGTTTGTATATTGTTTGCTTTGCATGCCAGTATAGGTCCAAGGTCTCTCGATGTACATGTGAGCAGGTTATTGACTGAGAATGTAAAATTGAATTATGGCACTGGTTGAGTGTGCTACAAGAATGGAGTTTGAGTATATTTATTTATAGTGTTTACATGCTTGATTGTTGTTAGTGCATGGATTATGTAAAAGGGTGAGGAACTAGAACTGAGAAACGTATTTTAGTTGTAATTAGATTAAATTTTGTTTATTGTTGAATAGGGGGTTGGGAATTTCATTGGCTTGGCTTGTTTAAGTGTATGATTGATGTATGATTCACTATATGGTGAATAGGAAAGTGAGTTTATTTATCGGTAGCTTAGTTGTCAGTTTACACTATCATGCAATTTAAAATGGTGATTTTTTTATTGTGTTTTTGTTGTAGACTTTCATTTGCAGTGTTTTATTCTGATATTTTAGCAGATATTGTGGTGTGGATCTTTTTTCCTTGTATTTTTGTGGATTTGATCTTTGTTTATGAGGTTTTGAGCTGTGTTGTACAGTGCTTGGGTCTTCATAGCAGCCAGAACATTTTATATGCTGCTGGAGATGTATTCGAATTTCATCTTTGCTCACATAAACAATAAAATAGTGCCAATCTGCCACAAAATAATATTTGTTTCTTTCCTTTAGCCTGACATATATTATTTGTTAATTCTTCCACCAAAGAGACTCACCAAATTGTCTTACACCAATTAGCTAATGTGATGCCATTTAGATCCTTCCAGTATTGAGCAACAATTAGCTGGGCAGCTGCAAGAAGCTAAACAATTATAGGTTTGAAATGACAATCCCCATTGTTGTTTCAAAAAATGTTCAAAGGAGAGCCATTATAAAACAATAACTCTGCAGTTCGGATCTGTTGATTGGAAGACAAGTCTTGCCCTCAGTATTCAGTCTCAGATTTGCAAATCTAGCAAATCTGCCAGCTGATCTATTTTTGTCCCATATATTAGCAGCTAGAATAAGCCATGTTTTGTGTACCAGACTAGGCAGATTTTTACCCAGTGTCTGTAATCCATGTTTCCCGAAGGCACATAGTATCCACAGTATTTAATAAGACAACAATCGCCACTTATGATTTCAGAAAACCAGCCAGCGTCATGCCAAGATGGCATTGATAATTTACATCTATCATGGAGTAATTAGAGTTGCTGAGGGTTTGTTGTTGGTTTATCAGAATAAAGGACTATGAGTCATAAAATGTTCTGAGGCTGTTATTTTATGGGTAATTTTATTCTGCCTGTTTATAAACCAAGGAGATGATGATGATGATAATTTATATCCCGCCCATCTGGCTGGGTTTCCCCAGCCACTCTGGGCAGCTTCCAACAGAATATTAAAATACAATAGTAAGTTAAATATTATAAGTTTCCCTAAACAGGGCTGCCTTCAGATGTCTTCTAAAAGTCTGGTAGTGGTTTTTTTTCTTTGACATCTGGTGGGAGAGCATTACACAAGGCGGGTGCCACTACTGAGAAGGCCCTCTGCCTGGTTCCCTGTAACTTGGCTTCTCGCAGCGAGGGAACCACCAGAAGGCCCTCGGTGCTGGACCTCAGTGTCCGGGCAGAACAATGTGGGTGGAGACGCTCCTTCAGGTATACTGGGCCAAGGCCATTTAGGGCTTTCAAGGTCAGCACCAACACTTTGAATTGTGCTTGGAAATGTACTGGGAGGCAATGTAGGCCTTTCAGGACTGGTGTTATATGGTCTCAGCGGCCACCCCCAGTCACCGGTCTAGCTGCTGCATTCTGGATTAGTTGTAGTTTCTGGGTCACCTTCAAAGGTAGCCCCACACAGAGTGCATTGCAGTAGTCCAAGCAAGAGATAACTAGAGCATGCACCACTGGCAAGACAGTCCACGGGCAGGTAGGATTGAGCATAGAGGTGTTGGAATCGGATTAGGATTTGACATCTTCAGGCTATTCTTTCTACTCTTTTGATATATCCATCTTTCCCCATTATCATGATCCTTATTCCTAAAACTTGAGAGTAAATATAGAGGTCTGCCAGCTTTAAATAAGAAGAGATTTTACTAATAAGATAAAAATCCATTCTTGGGGGGGGGGGAATTATGTATTTATTTAATTTATATATTGCTTCATATTTCCAAGAAAATTCCAAAGCAGTTCACAAAATCCTAAAGAACATGACAAATGAAGCCCAGTACAAATAATACAGTAAAAAATAAATAAATCCACGTATCAACACAAGATAACGAGATAAGATATCCTCCTAAACATCAATGTAAACTGAAACAGATAACATATGGGGGCCACAAGAAACTGCTACCAAATCCAAAACACAGAAACTAGCAAAGGAAAATTGAAAAGTAGGTATTGTTCTTTCCATAAAATCTGTGAGTCGAGTCACTGGAGAAACTCCTCCTAGGAAGCATCTAAAGGCTTCCTCCAAAGAAAAGCAGGGAAAATAGGATACCGGTAGCAGGCCGGCAGTGAGCAGGGGCTCCCAAACAACAATGACATGAAGATAGAAGCGGGGGAGCCAAAGTACAATGAAGTCATCTTGACAGAGCCGGGTGCCCAAGGGCAGCTAATTAGGCTGATGCATCCCTGCGCAGGGAGCAGCAATTAAGACATCATCTGCGCCAGTTGCTGCCACAGACAGGCAAAGACTAGCCAGTAATGATGTAAACCTCCACTATCCTCTTTTTACAGTATTGTAGTCTGGGGACCTGAGTGCCTTGCTGGCTACAGCAAAATCAGGACTGTGCCCTCTGAAGCATACAGGTGAGAGCACTCCATAGTAATTCTGTGTTGGGATTGATTAACACCATCCACTTTTCTTTTGTTTATAATATTTAAAACATAATTGAGAATGGGTCCTTTAACTGAAGTTACTGTTCATCTGAAGATAGTCCTTAAATTGTGTAAGGCACAACAGGATAAGATTGAGAGGCACTAGCAGCCTGAACTCAGGAACAACTTGAGACATTTTGCTGCCTGAAGCCCTCCGATGACTAGGTGCGTAGTGTTAGCAAATTCACTTAAATAACACAGCCCAAAGAGAGAAAATAAATTCTCATACTGAGGAATCTGCACAAGAACAGTATATAATTTGAGGAGAAAGGAATAGAAAGTTTTGTATTTCTCAGTTCAGGCCTGGTACATAGCTGGGATACATTCAACAAAACATACAGAGGATAACTCCTGCAGAAGTAAACAGCCAATCAGGGCATGTGCTACCTCAGCAAACATTATGGCAGTTGGCCTGGTTGCCAAGCAACACCTGCACCCATCCCTTAATACCAACATAATTAATCCTTCAGCTGCACACAAAATGATCTGTTCCACTTCCAACACATGGTACCAATGGCTGGCACCTGAGGCAGAAAAATCTACAAAAGTGCTTTTTCCTGCCAATTTAATATGTAGAAACGTGATGATGTTTAATTACAGTCTTTAAGGAGTACCAAAACTGAGGGGTACCCTATGGCACATAGAGTGAAATTCAGTGTCACACTATATGGCGATTGTTTCGTCAGCACAGGCATTACTACCCCTACACGTTGCTCTGGTGGGCTCTCTCAATTCTCCAAAGCAGTTTTGGGGGAGGCACTGGGGAAAGCCCCATTGCAGTATCACAAGCCCTTGTGCTAACCAGGGGTCAGCAACCTTTTTCAGCTGTGGGCCAGTCCACCATGTGGTGGACCAGACTATATTTTTTGGGGGGGGGATGAACGAATTCCTATGCCCCACAAATAACCCAGAGATGCATTTTAAATAAAAGCACACATTCTACTCATGTAAAAACACAAGGCAGGCCCCACAAATAACCCAGAGATGCATTTTATATAAAAGGACACATTCTACTCATGTAAAAACATGCTGATTCCCGGACCGTCCGTGGGCCAAATTGAGAAGGCGATTGGGCCGCATCCGGCCCACGGGCCTTAGGTTGCCTACCCCTGTGCTAACCTATATTAGCAAACTAGGTTAGTTGAATCCAGCCCATGGTTTGGAATATAGCACTTGTTTTGTTCTTGTGAACTGTTCTTGGGTTGTATTTTTCATTGATAGTTTAAGGCTACTTACAATAATAAGGGTTTTATTTATTTATATATACACAACAATACTTGTACACCACAATGTCATTAAAAACAACAACAAAGCAGTTTACAACCATTTCATATACACACAATAAAAACCACATAAAGATTTAAAATTACAGACCATCAGCAAACGATTACAGAAAATGTTTTTTTAATTGTCTGCATAAGCCTGGCGGTTTTGTAATGATAACAACAGGCAATTGCACTCCTATTACCTTCTCATTTCATTCAGCCTTTTTAGGACAGAAGGTAAAGAAATAATAATAAAAATCATGAGTAATTAATTAAAGAGGAAATTGCACTCCTACTCTCTTCTCACATTATTCAATTAAACTAGAACAGTAAGTAAAGAATTCTAGGGAACAGTTCCCATGAATATGACCTTGTTTGATGGAGTTCTTTGGAAAGTAGCAGTCTTTCCTGCTCCCATCCCATGAAAGCAATTTATGTGACCAATAAAGACAAGATAATAGTATATCAACATAATTTCTTACCACCCATGAAGTTTGGTTTTTATACGTAGACTCCTCACAATGTTCCAGTAGCTGAGACATGAAAATGCCAGCAAGTGAGAGAGGAGGCGAAGTCAGATGAAGCCACTTTGAAACTGACTGCTCCTGGGAAAACACCAAAAAGCATAAAGAGGATCATTTATAGGCATATATCTCTTATAATAAAAAAAATATGGAATTTCTAACCCAGAGTCAAATTTATATCATCAGGCTGTAATGTTTCAGTGCCACTGTAGTTACTGTAATCGGAGAAGGTTCCACAGAAAGGGGCTAAAGTTGCAATTCACAGACCAAAGACACTGTGAATGCCAGCAAATTGCACCCAATTCCTGCAAAAAATATAACGAAAAAAGTTAATTTCCTTTGTTTTAGAAAATTGAAGTTTATAGGAAAACCCCTAGATGCTAGAAAGATGCATAACAACTCTAAAATAGATCAGGCTGCTTCCCAAAGAGACAGGTACAAGTTGAATCTTGTGGCTGGTGCACAACCCTACGGTTTTATTCTACAGAAATGTTGTGGGTGTACGCGCATGTGATTATTACTCGGCTGCATTTGTTATGTCTCGGTATCCATGAATGGAGAAGGCTAGTGCAAATGTGCAATAGATCAGCCCTTGGCCCATGCCAGCCTTCTCAATCTGGTGCCCTCTGGAAGTTTTAAACTAAAACTTCTATCATCCCTGATCATTGGTTATGCTGGTTGAGATTTGATAGGAGTTGTAGTCCAAAACATCTACAGGGCACCCGGGGGCGTCTTTAGCATATGCGCTGCCAGGGTGCAAAGATCCGCCCAGCACCCCAAATTTAGTTTAGCCCCCAAAATTAACTTTTATTATGCCTATGTCAGACACTGTGCTTACGCCTTATCTCTTTTTTATGAAAGAAGGGAGGAAAAAGAAACAAACTTTTTTATTTGCTCGTTTATTTACAATACACTTATACTTGTTGAGTCTGACAACTGCCGCCGCTGGTGCAGTGTGTCTTTGGTAAATGAGCGCACAAAGTCGAAAGTCCTTTAGTGAAACAGTAGGTATACATTTCAGTAATACCTAGGTATATATGTATTTTGTTTTTCTAGCTTGATAAAAATTATTATTTCATAACAGGTAGATAGTTAAGAGCTTAGGCAGCTTCAGCGGTGGGCACCTGGTGCCCCCCAGAATTCGGCACCCCTTGCACCCCCGGGTAAAGACGGCCCTGAGGGCACCAGTTACGGGAAGGCTGTCTGGTACTCAGACTATGGAAGATCTAGTCAGTTCTGATGATGAGAGTGAAGGCATGGAGCATCCATGGGGATTTTTGTTTAAAATGGATACAGAGACAGGACCTAAGATTGCCTTAAGAACATAAGGAGAGATCTGCTGGATCAGGCCAATGGCACATCTAGTCCAGCATCCCATTCTCACAGTGGCCACCCAGATGCCTGTGGGAAGCATAAGCAGGACCTGAAAGCCACAGCCTATGACCACAAATGTGCACAAATGAAGTAGGTGAATAGACAAGCAGCTAGAAGTGTATTGATCAATGATCCACCAAATGAAACAATCCTCTCTCCCCACCCCATAGCAAAACAGCAACTCAAAATATACCATTTCACTTCATGTACACATGACTGCTTCTTAGAAAGAAGAAAAAGCTGCTGCATCTCTTGATCCATGCTGTAGCTAAATGCATAGCATACAAGTTAGCATATTGCACCTTGGGACAGATGGATTATTCAAGGAAGCGACGACTAGCATGGAAGTTAAGTTTTGTGAAAATATTTGTCTCACATTGTCTCTTTTTCTTTTGGTGCAAACATCCTTGGATCTTACATTCCAAGTGCAATGTTCTTTGCCACTCTCCCCTTTGGCTCCAATTCCCAAAGAGTGAGATCAAGCAGGATGGGCTAACAAGGTGGTTACTTTCCATTCTTTTGTCATTTGATGTATTCTGCGGGGGAATGGTGGTGATCTTGGCACAGGAAGCCAGCATTTCCTTGTGGCTTCATTCTTTTAACTTTACAGGCATGGTAAGCATGCCAAAGCTGGGCCCTTAGCTGATTTCTTTCTCTTACTTTTACACAGCATTGTTGGGAGTATTAATTAGAAATGCCCTGTGTTTGTCACGGGCTAGTTCTATTGGATACACAAAGCTGTGACCAAGATAACGCAGATGACCTAAATGCATATTATTCCAATGTGTGCTCCACATGCTTTAAAGCGAGTGAGAAACTACAGCATAGTCTTTTTTAAAGTGGTCCCTAGTAATTTTTTTCAGATGCTGTAGCATCTGTCTCGCCATCAAATATATTCTGGGACAGGATCATGACTGAGGAGGATCAATTGAAACCAGAATAGAACAACACAGCAGTCATTTGGCATGGAGTGATGGAAATTCGTGGGTGAGAAGAAGGCCTTGGTTTGTAAAATTGGAGAGGACATTTTCCACTGTTTGGTTATCACTGATGAGGCTTTCACATGTGATGAGGTTCCAATAAAGCATTACATAAATAAAATGGATACATTTTGTCAAATTTTAGCAATAGCCATATGTTGCAATCAGACTTGCATGAATAGAAAAAGAAAAAGAAAGAAAGCCATGAAAATATTGGAGATGACAGCAATGGGGCCTTGGTTTATAGCCCAAAAAGGAGAATTAGAGAAGTATTTATTTGGGGACCACCAATTCATTGCCTCAGATACACTGCATTTAGAAATGATATCTTTAGCCCCCTCCATTTTGTAGCACTGCAGAGTCTGATCAACAACAAGGATGATATACAGGAAAGTTTTGAACCAGAGATGAATTGTGGCACCTTGTTACTAAGAGTGAACATGGTGAGAGCCCAGCTCTGTTATTGAGCCAGTTAAAAAGCAAAAAATGAGTACAGTTTTGTCACTGGAACACTCTCAGATTGTTATGCCACAGTCAGCGTTCCCAATTTTGCATGGCAATCCTATTCCTAGCCTAAGTATTTGTCCAGCCCCGATCACTAACTGTGGAAATGTCTGGCGTCATCCGAATCAAAAATTGTTTTAAAATAATATCAATATAACAACAGATTCACAAAGCCTAACTTTAGCACATTAAAAACCCTTTGGACATTTCATGTTCACTACTGTAATATTGTGTGTTAAGGACATGTTAAGCTGCCTTACGCTGAAACGGGACAGTGGTGCATTAATTCAGTATTGTCTACACTGCCAGCAATTTTCCAGGGTTTCAGACTGTGGCCTCTACTAGCCCTACCTGGAGATGCTGGAGATTGAACCCGAGACCTTCTGTATGCAAAACAGATGTCCCACCTCTGAGCTATGACTCTTCCTCACACTTTTGCAGTGTGGCCATACACTAGAGAACACAGGTGTCCCCATATAACACTATACTGCTTTATCATATTAAGCAGAGCATGTAAATTAAACAAGGGGAGGAAAGGGAGAAGAGATTTCTGGATACCCTCATATATTTTTTAAAGAGGTTTGAATGTCAGATAGAAACACTTGGGGCCCTAAAATCTTATTTTCAGGGCTCTCTTTCCCTTTGGTTCCTTGTATAAGCCTTTCAGTATTCATGAGCTGTGAAACCAATATGATTACGACTTCCCTATCCCTGAAGTATATTTTATTTCCCCTTGCAGTTGTCATCATGCCCAATCCCAAACTACCTTTTGTCTGCCCCCACCACTCATCATCTTTTCATGTGCAGCCTGTGATGCATTGCAGAATATTCCTTGTAGGCTCTTATATCAAAATCTTCTTAACCTCTTGTGCCTTGGAGCTTATGAAGAAATTGTTGTGCATTAGCAGCTTAAAAGTAACTCCATTCTGGCCCTAAAATCTGCAGCAGTGAGCATGAATGAATTCCGCCAGGAATATTTTTTGGGGTGTGTGGAGTGGATGGTCTTGATTGCTCTTTCAATTTCAGTGGCTTTAGGATTGGTGTTTCTGCAATATTAGTGCTCCAAAAAAAGAGTGCATTTTGGTGCAGAAAATGTAATTTACAGAGCAATCCTATGCTCTTTCAATGGCACTGTGCCCGTGGAATAATATATGTGCTTAGCCTGGGAGAGGAGGATGAATACCGTATTTTTCGCTCTATAACACGCACCTGACCATAACAAGCACGTAGTTTTTAGAGGAAGAAAACAAGAAAAAAATATTCTAAACGAAACAGTGGATGTATGATTTTTGTGGTTCATGCTGTGGCCACAGACGTGATCTGACGGTGAGTTTGGGGTAGCCCAATGCAAAAATCCTGAGGATCCACGTGGATCCATGCTTTGTAACCACGTTTTTGTGCCATTGCAGCCCCATGAAATAGTGGGTGCATGTGTGTTTTTTGGTGCAGGCTGTAGCCATGGATATGCTATGTGATCTGATGGTGAACTTGGGGTGACCCAGTGCAAAAATCCTGAGGATCCATGTGGATCCATGCTTTGTAACCACGTTTTAAGTGGGGAGGGAAGGAAAAGCATTCAAGGGACAAGGAACACGCGTGGGGTGTGTGGAGAAGGATGCTGCTAATAATGCAGAAGAGGGGTTTAAGGGGAGAAGGAACACGCGTGGGGTGTGTGGAGAAGGATGCTGCTAATGATGCAGGAGAGGGGTTTAAGGGGAGAAGGAACACGCATGGGGTGTGTAGAGAAGGATGCTGCTAATGATGCAGGAGAGGGATTTAAGGGGAGAAGGAACACGCGTGGGGTGGGTGGAGGATGCTGCTAATGATGCAGGAGAGGGGTTTAAGGGGAGAAGGAACACGCGTGGGGTGTGTGGAAAAGGATGCGGCTAATAATGCAGGCGAGGGGTCTATGGAGAGAAGGAACACGCATGGGGTGTGTGGAGAAGGATGCTGCTAATGATGCAGGAGAGGGGTTTAAGGGGAGAAGGAGCTCACGTGGGGTGTGTGGAAAAGGAGCTTTTCGGTGAGCTGAGGGGGGAGGGAAAGAGCACTGTTGCTTTAAAGGAGCCAACCGGACAGCAGCCACTTACAGCAGTGTAAGTAGCTCCTTTCCTCTCCCGCTTTGCTCCTTCTCTCCCTCTTTGCTGCTTTACGCAGCTAATGGCGAAACCCATGCAACCCAAGTCCTGCTCAGCGGATCAGCTGAGACGTTGGGAGAATCGTAATTTCCCCCTCTCCCTCATCCCGTGCCCTCCTGTCCCCAGCAGCCTTTTTAAAAACTTTTTTACTGGTTTTCACTGCGCTCGTGGCTCAGAGCCCTCCTGTGCCCTGCCGTCCCTCTGCAGCCTCATTGCTCCGTTTAGAGAGCGCACGGACCTTTGCTAGCTGAGGCTGCAGCAGCTGTTGCTGGCTATGCGGCGCTTTTTCTGGCTCGCTATGGCTCCCGTCTGTCCCTCCTCCCGTGTAAGCGGCTGCTGCCCGCTTTGCTGCCATGGCTCTCCATCCCTCCCTCCTCCTCGGCTCCTCTCCCTCTTCCTGGCTGTAAAGCAAGCAAAGCTAGAGCCGTGCAAAGTCCTGCAAGCGGCTCCCGCTTTGCTTGACTGACGGCAGCCATGGCTCCGGTCGAGTGCATTCGCTCCATAACACGCACAGGCATTTTCCCTTACTTTCTAGGAGCAAAAAAGTGCGTGTTTTGGAGCGAAAATTACAGTAATTAAAAAAATGAATAAAAGTTAGCAGTGTGCAACCTGTGGTCTCAAAATACTGCTCCCATTCTCCATTCAGGCAAGCAAGAAACACTATCAGGGTTCAAGGACACATTCCAGTCAGGCAGAAACATACAGTAAGGGTGCAAAGCGGGGCAGGTAAGGGATAGAATTGTTGAGTTGGAAGGGACCATGAGGATCATTTAGTCCAACCCCCTGCAATTAAGGAATCTTTTGTCCAATGTAGGCTCACACCCATAACATGAGTCTCATGTTGTCTGGGGAGAGTCCTAAGGGCAAAATGGAGGAAGCCAGGAGAGCTCCTGGGCCTGTAATTCCCCATTCCTGTTTTAAGAAGACACCTGGTAGATATTTAGTGTGTGAGAGGGTGTGTGTATTGTAGGATGTGAGGCAGGGGAGTCTCGGGAATCATGGTTCAATATAGGAGAATGGAATGGATTTTTCCTTAGATTTATTCGAGCCCTCTCATTCCATGATTTGATTTCTCCCAGGATTTTGGGCCACCCAAAGTCAGTTGTAAAATAAGGGAGACTTGGAACTTAACTATCCTACGCTATCTAGAGTATATTACAAAAAAGAAAAGAAAAAAGAGTTCAGCCCAGCTCAGTTAAATTACAGTTTAGTGAGTTCTGGTTTCCAGTTACCTAACCTGGACCTTTCTGTTTGATCAAAGCTCCCCAGAGAACTGGAAAATATTTTCTAAACTTGACTTATCTCCCTAAGCCACAAGCACTTCCTAAAACAAATGAGGCTCATAGAGGGTTAGAACTCCCTTGCAGATTTTCAGCCTAACCACTTTTTCATCTCACCAATCAAGTTTTATAACATCCTAAAAGTATTTGGCTTTTGCTTAAGAGTTTTTCCACTCAGTAAAACCATTGGTAATACTCTTTGGCTTTCGGTATTTCAGAGCAGTATTCTCATGTGGGGTGGGCAAAACAGCTTTGAGAAAAGGATCCCGCCATCCAGAAAGATTTTGAACCACTCTCAAAAGGCAGTCTGATCCTTTGATGTCTGTAAATTTATTGGTTTATATTCCCTGAGTAACACATTTTCATTAGCTACATTTTCATTCAGTTTTTTAGTTTTTTAACTAGAGTAAGATCAGAGAGCACCTGGTGGTTGTGTTCAGGCCCATCCTTACCAAGCCATATTGCCATGTGGCATGCACCACTGAAATGGGCAGATGTCATAGCATCAGAATAGGATGGACAGAGACTGTTGCTAAACTGTTGCTGCTTTTGCAGCAGGTGTTGGTTATGGCTTCATGGAAATCTAGCTGTACTCTAGCTGCTTGATAGGGTTTGACTACGCATGCCATAGCCCTTTTTTTGGCAGGATGATTTGTGCAGGTTTCTGTTTCCACCCATCCAGCATAATTCTGTTTCTAATTCCAACTCAAACCGCACAACTCTGAATATTTTCTCATCTGTCCTTGGCATTGATATGATCCAAAATGATAATCATAAACCATTTCATAATTACCCTTGCCTGCCAGGATGGTCTCAGACAACAATTGTACAGTGAATTCTCATATACCAGATGGCAGGAGCCACGCCGAACTGGATTGTCTGAAGATGCTCAACACATGCTGCTCCACCCACCCCATTTTTGACAAGCTGCAAAACTCTTGCCTGCTTTAAGTGTTATGGCATCAGGCTTTGTCTGTCTAGACCACACACTTCAATGTGGACTGCAGTGTAGGATGGCTAGCAAAAGGGCAGCTGCCACGGTTATTTGCATAATGACAATGAATTCCAAATGAAGGGGATGCAGCTCAATCTTCAAGTTTAGAGTCAAACTTTCAGGAAAGGAAGGACTGCTGAAAATGTACCTGTTTTGATGGCCAACATGATGTGAGAATGTAGGAAATAAACCCAAAAGGAATGGAACTTTTTTCTTGTTTGAGAATAAAACTGATTTCTTAAAAATCATTTCAGTACTTGAAGCCCACGTTTGTTGCCCATCCAAAGGCATTGTGGTTTGTTTCGTCTCGCTTAGTTTGATTATTTTTCCTGGCAAAATGGTTGCGTGACATTATATTATGGTACCGTATGAAAACAGCAGCCAAGCAGCATCTTTTAGATGGTTTTCCCCCTCTTACTTTTTCCATAATTTAGTCCAATCTCATTGTTGTACTCCATTCAAACATTCACTCCATCTGAGATGTAACCCCAAGTTCCTTTTGATATTGCAAGATGCAAAATAATACTGGGAATGTCTCATATATATTTTTATTTCCCTCCCAGCCACTTATTTGGCAAAAGATAAATTTTGTTTGCTTGTCAATGTTGGTTGTGAATTGCATTGAATAGATTGAGTCATTTTTTAAAAAAAGAAAAGAAAGAGAAAAAACACATTTAAACAGTTTCGAGTCTATGAACACGTTCATTTTAAGCAGGATTTTGTTGAGATGAGCAGCTTTGAATTGAGGCAATACTTTTCTAATTATTTGCATTTTGCCATAAGGCAGTGTGTTGGACCCTAACAGGATTCAAATTCACATTCATCAGGGTGTTCAGCAACCATGATACAGGTAATATTGAAGCCACATGGACAGAATCATTTTCCCCCAAACAACAAATAATTATGCACTATTTTATATTTATAAAAATATATATAGCAATGCCATAAAAATCAGTGGCATACAAATATATACACACACATATATACACCCACACCATATAAAAACAAG